TCTCTCTCTCTCTCTCTCTCTCTCTCTCTCTCTCTCACACACACACACACACACACACACACGCTCACACTCACACACATGTACAGGATGGCAGGTATATCCCCTGACCTGGAAACCACAGGCAATAACTACAGGGCACACATTGGCCACCTGGTCGTTGACTGTACTGTTTGGCAGTCACATGCCAAGGTCGAGTTGGTCAAACCTTTGCATGTTACAGACCGGTCAGTGGAGGCAAGGCATGGTGACCTGTCCACAGTCCCAAAGCCATTGAGAGATAAGGAAAGATGTGAACTCTGGCTGTAGCCCTTCAATGACAGTATCTGACTTCAACATGCAATCAGCACACAGTCAACATGGGATTAGGAATTCCCTACTGCAAAATGGGAAATAAACAAGAAATTCCCCACAATGGTCTTCAAGTTATACTAGTGATTCAGAATTTGGCGGACCTTGGCCTCTTTAATAACTCAGAATGACCTACATGAAACTCAGATAAGAGTTTTCAAAGGTTCGTGGACCATCCCTCCCAAATTCACCCAAATACCTCAGTTAAGAATCCCCTTAAGTGTTGTGTAGTCCTGAGTTAAGTGCTATGTGGTTAGTTTTATGTCAACTTGACATAAGCAAGAGTCACTTGGCAAGCAGGACACTCAACTGAGAAAATGCTTCCATAGCATTGGCCTATGGGCAAGGTTGGAGTGTGTTTTGTTGATTGATGACCCATACTGAAGGACCCAGCTCAGTGGGGATGGCACACCCTGGGCAGGTGGTCCTGAATGCTATAAGAAAGCAGGCTGGGCAAGCCATGGAGAGAAAGCCAGTAAGCAGCATTCCTCCATTGTCTCTACTTCAGTTTCCGCCCCAAGTGTGGTGGCACACACCTGTCAACAACACTTGGGAGGAAGAGGCAGAAGAATCAGAGATTCAAGATCATAGCAAGACCAGCCTGAACTACATAAGACTCTGTCAAAAAAAAAAGTAAGCAAGAAAGTAATCAAATAGAATCTATTTTATGCCAGGTGTGGGGATGGCATCTATAATCACAGCACTTGGGGGGGTGGAGGCAGAAGGATCCTGCAGTTGGACAAGAGCCCATTTCAACCAACCACACCAAAACCAAACCAAAACAAAGAACCTAATTCTTCACACTGCTGAGTGCATTCTTTCTCAGGATTGCCTACACGTCATAGCCCTTGGGAATCCCACGAAGTCCACGGAGGCTGATAAATCAGCATTGGCACATCAGAGGATTCTGGGCTTGTAGCTCTCAGACTGATGAGTAGCTGCCTCCAGACCTATGGTAAGTCTAATTCCTCCAGCTCCCAGGTGCCCTCCCTGGTGCCCACTGAAGCTAAATGCTCCATGACAGACCATCAGGGACCATTCAAAGCTCAACATCTCTGCCCTATAAGTACTCCTTTAACTTTGGGCCCCAGACCAGAAGCCTGAATATCGCCCTTGACTCTTGACTACCTGTCTCCACCCCACATGTGGTATGTGTGTGTGTGGTGCCAGAGGAGGGCATTAACCTTGAGAGAGCATCTCTTACTGAGCCTGGACTTCATTTTATTTTTATTTTTATTTATTTATTTATTTATTTATTTATTTATTTATTTATTTATTTATTTTTGCTAAGCTAGCGGCCAGAAAACCCCAGGAATCCTGTCTCTGGTGTCAAAGCATTGGGGTTATAGGAACGCATAGCCACATTCACCTTTTTCTGTGAGTTCTGAGGATCTGACTCAGACCCTCACGCTTTCATAGCAAGTGATTCATACACGAATCTGTCTCCCCAGTTCCCTCTCCATCACCCACACCTTTACTACCATGCAGTGAAGGTGAACTATACCTCCCAGGTGTTCTGGGTCTCCTTCCTCGCCTCTGTTTTCTTCTGTTCCTCTACTAGTCTATGGTGGATAATCAACTGCCAACTTAAGGAGATCTAGAATTATCTGGGACACAGGGATATCCAATGTGAGTTATCTTGAGTAAACCGATGGAAGCAGGAAGGCCCCACCCACTGTGGGCAGCACATTCCCTGGGCTTGGCTCCTAGATCATATATACAAAGGGAAATGGAGTTGAACGCAAGCATCATCACACTCTATCTCCTGACTAGAGATGCACTGTGACCTACTGCACTCCTGCCATGGTGACTCCCACCATGCTGCACTTGGCTCTTGACCCGTGAGCCGGACTAAACCCTTCCTTCCTCATGCCGCTTTCTTTTAAGGTTGGTTTTTTATCACGGCAACAGAAAGAGACTAAGGCGCCATCTTCATCCTGCAGTCCTGACCCCAACAAAATCCTCCCAGACGAAGAGAACTCCAGAGTGGATCCATCCAGTGCAGCAGCTGCATGTGGCCATTTAGATTTACATTAAAATTAAACAGAATCAAATCCTATATCTCTAGCCACACTTCCAACTCTCAATAGCCACAGGTAACTAGTAACCACCACATTAACCTGGTGAATGTGGGCTGGTTGATTTTAACTGTCAACGTGATACAACCTAGAATCACTTGAAAAGGATCTCAACGTGGAATTTATTCAGATTAGGTTGGTCTGTGGGCATGTTTGCGGGGGATTGTCTTGATTGTTAATTAATGTAGGACAGACCCAGTCATGGTGATTGGTACTGTTTCCCAGGCAGGGGCTCCTGGGCAGCATAAGGGAGGAGAAAACCAGCAGAAAGTAAGTAAGCGAGGGTGTACAGGGCAGCAAAACAGGACTCAAGCCTTATACAGCACAAGTGTTCTTATACACTAGTCTGGGCAACTCCACAGGCAGGGGCTGGGTCCTGCACATGGCATAACCCCAGCCAGCAGCCCAGGGTCAGGCACACAGCTGGTTCTCACTAGCTACTGTACCATAATTGCCTTGATGTCCCAGAAACTCCTTCACCTAAGACTCCGGCTCCTACAGTATGGGAGGATGGATAATGTGCCTTCAACACCTAGGTCCCAGTCTCTGGAACCTGTGGATGCTACAGTTTTTGGAAAAGGAACTTGGCATCTTCATTTAGTAAAGGATCTAAGAGAGACAGACAGAGATAGAGAGAGACAGAAATAGAGAGGCCCATGTAGTCCAAGCTGGTCCTGAACTCACTACGTGGCTGAGGATGACCAAGAACTTCTGACCCTTGTCTCCACTTCCCATGCACTGGTATTACAGGCGTGTGCCACTATGTCCAGTTTATTTAGTGTTAGGTACAGAATGGAACCCAGGGCCTCCTGCAGCCTAGGCAAACACTCTAGCATCTGAGCTGCATCCCCAGACCGCACATAGTAAAGAATCTTGAAGTGTAAATCACCCTAGATTGCTGAGCAGGCTTGAGATGCTGTCGCAGATACCTTTATTAGTGAGAAGTACATGGAGAGTGTGTGCATGTGTGTGTGTGTGTGTGTGCGCGCACACACACATGCACATGCACTCACGTATGTACCAACATGCCTCATTTATGCCATGTTTAGGATGGAACCCAGAGCTCTGTGCATGAACTCCGCCAGCTGAGTGACATGAAACCAGCACGTTTACGATAATTTGTTATAGTGGCCATAGGGAGCGAATGAGTGTATTCCATTCTAAGGGACTATTGGGTCAGAATCAGAAGATCTGATGGGAGAGGGGGATAAAAGGAATACCTGAGGATGTAACAGAGTACACGTGCCTAGCATGCACAAGGCCCTCAGTTCCATCCCCAGCACCAGAAAAAAAATAATAAACAATAGAATAAAAGACACCAGGGACCCGGCCCCAAGTGTGCTAGTGGGTGTGACTGAGCTGGGGAAGTTTCTAGAGGGTCCGGTGCGTAGACCAGACCACTGGCCAGTAAGCTTCCACTTAACTTCCCCACCTTGGTCCTGCTGCCTCCTGGCTGCTGAAGGTGCCAAGCAGGTCTGTGCGCTGACTTTGGCTCAAGCGGCAAGCACTTTCTCAGCTTCCCAGTGGCCCACTGACTCCCCTCCTACACAGTGCTGCTAAGGCGGCCTGCTTTTCAGTCACTCAAAGAAACATGCTCGGTTGCGTGAAGGCGTGAGTGAGGGCATCTCTTGGAACCTTCTCTGGCCTCACCATGTTAGTTTTGCCTACCCCTATAAATTTTTTTACCTCATAAGTTAGCAGCAGGGTTTGTGTAACTAAACACGGTAGTTGCTCCGCGTATTTTAATGAAGGAATTGGAGAATAAATGCAGTTTGGGACCACTGGCCCAACATACCTGATCTTGGCCTTCCTAAAAGCCAGCTCCTCTTCATTGCCGAAGTCTAGGGACACATCCTCAGTATCGTCCACGAGGGCCTGGGGGACACCAGGAACAGAGGGCAGGCCCCACTGACACACACCCTGCCTCCGCGGCAGAGTGCCCTTTCCTCCTAGACAGTCTCTGAGTTTCTTTTAGTCTTAGCACCTTACCGCTCCAGGCTTTCCCCACCCTCTTTACACTGGCCTTAGGCTCCAAGGCCAGCGCATCTATTTTCCTCCCTCAGGCTCTTTGCCATCCTCCTCCTCACGACACGGCATCCCCGCAGCCCTACCTGTTTCATTCTCCTGGGTACCAGTTGACCCTACAGCGCAGGCTCCAGCTTCACCCTTCACCGCCCAAAGTTAAGGAAACCCAGCAAGCAGCCGGCCTGAGGGATGCTAGGAGCTCAGGCTCCACAGCTTGGCTTTGGTTGTCTGGAGGGGGAGGGGCTCTGCGCAGTGCGCAGTCTCCGGCTAGGGCGGTTCCAGAGAGGATCCCCAGGGAAGCTGTGACAGACGCTGAGCCTGGAGCTGTGGCAGGGAAAAGGACAGACCTGCAGGACCCTGGACAGGGAGGGGATGGTGGCAGGGTGTGTGTGTGTGTGTGTGTGTGTGTGTGTGTGTGTGGTGTGTTAGGGAATATTGTGGAGATTCCAGGGGGTTGAGTGAATGAATGTGGTGGTGGGGGGATGTTGTGGAGACTGTATGTGTGTATGTATGTATGTATGTATGTATGTATGTATGTATGTATGTATGTATGTATATCTCCAAGTCCAGGATCCAGCATCAGTTCTAGAAGCTTCTAAATCCTCTACTTCTCAACCGCCACCATAGTCCACTGGAATCAGCGCAGTGGACTGCCGAAGCTCCCAGAGCTCAGACCCAGTCCTTCTCACCGGCTCCCCAGCTGGCAGTGTCTGTGGAAGGGCCTGGGAACGGAGTCTGCCTCCGCTACCTGGGCAGCAGGGCAGCAGTTCTCTTGTGACCACCAAGTGAGATTAAGGCTGGGATTGCCCTCGAGGCATCAGGCTCTATGACTCTCGAGGTTGTGCTTTCTGGAAAGTTCTGTGGCCTCTTCCCCACCCACAGCTGGCTCCAGGCACAGATGTGACACTGAGAGGCCAACAGGAGTGGACTGGGGGAAGCATTCACAGTGGAGACCAGGTGGATGTGAGCATTTAGGGGCTTTTCCTCTGGCCCTGAACACCTGAGCTGGGGACAGGTGGGAAAACCCCCTAGGAAGCCCCATCAGGGTTAATGGACGCCACTCTCAGGGTGGGGATCCTCAGAAATGACCACTGCATCTGCCGTCAAGGTTACCACATGAACATGAGGTGACTGTTCATGAGACCTGACCTGGTCTGTCCTCACAGGGCAGAGGATGGGAGGGCAAAGACCAAGCACTCTGCAGGGAGTTTATCATCAGCCTTGAAGTTGGCTCCAGCCACCTTGTAAGTGGGGTTTGAGGGCAGAAGCCACGGCTCTGGCAGCATCAATAAACGAGGCTCAGCTACCTGCCCCATACTCCAACAGGAGAGATGAGGGAGAGGGAGACAGGAGAGACTTGGTCAACACACTGGGAAGAAACAGATCGCAGGGCCTGGTGACCCCATCTCCAGGGCACAGATACAAACTTCAAGTTTAGTAGAGGGGACAGGAGCGAGAGGTGTTATGTACACCCTGTGAGGCGGTCCTGCCCCTCACTGTTCAGCTCGCTTGTGCCCGTTGGTCTGAAATATTGTTACTCTCTCATCACTGATATGAACGGGGGAGTAACCTGCTCTCCCCAGGTGCTGCTGCACCACGAGGGCCCACATTGTCTGCAGTCCGTTTGCTAGGGAAGTCCGCTGTTCTGGAGTCCTGGGTGACTGCAGGCCCCACATCTATCCTGTCTCTTCAGTCTTGAGGGGAAATGAAGGTAAAGAGACAAGTCTTAGTAAGTCCCATGGCTATACCTAGAATTAGGCAGGAGTCAAAAATAAACACAAGGAGACACAAAAAGTGAAGGAAGAGATGCCAGGCTTCCTCCCAGGTTTTAGTTAGCGAGGAAGTCACCTTTTACTAGGTAGGTTTGAGGATTCTGGTCCAGGCCTTTGGAGTCTCCAGGGAGGGATTTGGGAACCTACTTCCCATAAGGAAAATACTAGTATTTGGAATATAGGGAGTACTTAGAGCAGAAACTTGTGGGAAATCCCCTTTCGTCCATGCTCTCTGCTCCTCTTGGCCTACTTGGGGCAGGGCGCAGAAACTCCCAGGTCCTGTAGCTGAGCCTTGGAGCCAGAACAGCCCCTGTAGGGTCCCCAGGCTGTGCAACCCAGGCTCTGGAGACCCTCAGAGCTCAATGTCTGGTTGTCAACAGGCCTGGATGGGTGGGCTGTGCAGAAGACACCATCTTCCTGACCTCAGTATCCCTTCTCTAAAATGGGACCACACTCCCCCGATCCTGGATGGCAAGGACTGGAACATAGTGCATATAAAATGCCTTCTCAGAGTACAAGCTTAAAATACCATGCCCTGGGGACAGTCATCCACATAGGAGCTGGGATCCGAGGAACCGTGGGCACACAGAACAAGGTCTTATGTCTAACTCACCCTCCCATGAGATGCCTGTCTTTCCAGCAGACCCTGTGAGTGACAGACTTTAAAGAGGTGAGTTTAAGGAATCTAAGTTAGACGATTTCTTTTAGATGAAGTTTTGTGGGTTCCAGGCTGATGTCAAACTCACTCTGTAGCTAAAAATAGCCTTCTGCCAGATTCTCCCAGTTCTGCACCCTGACTGCTGGGATCACAATTGTGTATCAACCGTGTCTGAAACTGGGACTTGGTGAATGCCAGGCAAGTGGTCTACCAACTGAGTGACAGTCTAGCCTTCATCTCTGTGTGTGTGCACAGTCACATATGTGTGTATGGTGTTGCACACACACACACACACACACATGCACATACACGTATGTGGCAGAACAGGCCTTCTGCAATTGGTTGAGAGAGTGGAGCCTGTCAAGCCACGAGTAGGTGCTTCCTGGACCTCTGGTTTCCTCTGAGTAGCTGAGGTCCAGCACCTTCTCCATAGCTCCTGTGCTGGAGAGTACAGGAGAACCACCCCTACCCTAACAGCTAGAGGTGCGGTTATGTTATCCCCATAGAGAGGGTGACCTGCCTAGTCAGAACCTTTGACCTTTCTTCCCTGCCGTGGCCCCTAACTCTTGCGATACCATAGTAACACCCGCCAGGCTGAGATTTCTACAAAATCCCAAACTCCTTGCTACCTTAGGGTTCCCTGTACCTGCTGCTCCCCAGGTTCACATCCTTCCCTTCCTGAATCCCCCAGGGCCAAAAGTAGGATGGCCCTTCTCAGGAGTGTCTCTCACCTGGCTCACATCCTATCCACAGGCTAAGTCCTCTCTAGTTTTAGGGTCTAAACCCCAGCTGGACTTGTTTCCTTCCTAGCGCTTTCTGAGAAGCTTTAATCTTCTTGTCTTAATGGCCTGCTGGGCTTTCACCTCCCCACACTCTGTCTAGGACTTACTTCTAGATCAGTGGCTCTCAACCTGTGGGTCGCGACCCCTTTGAGGGCGTTGAATGATCTTTTCACGATGGTCGCCTAAGACTGTTGGAAAATGTAGATATTTACATTTTGATTTATAACAGTAGCAAAATTGCGCATAAAGTTGCAATGACATAATTTTATGGTTGGGGTCACCACAACATGAGGCACTGTTTTAAAGAGTTGCAGCCTTAAGAAGGTTGGGAATCACAGCTCTAAAGAATAAATGTGACTTTTGATGGATGAAGGAAGCTCCCTGCACATTCTGGGCACCAGGTGCTGTGTGGTTAGTGAGGAAAAGATGAATAACATGCAGTATGCCCAGCAGTGTCTCCACCCAGCCTAGAGAGCTAGAAATGGTGAGGCTCTAGAACCAGGGAGCAAAGAGAGGCGTGGATACCCACGCATGTCTTGTCTGGAGCTCCGAGTCTCCCCCCCCCCCCACACACACACTGCTAGCCCAGGGCCTCTGCTTCCCTGCTGGCCCAGCTCTCAAACATCCACTCTGTATATCCAGGACATGTTTCAGCCCTGAGGTTCTGGGCCAGTGGAGGCAGCTGACCTGGGGCTGAACTGGGAGTCCTGTTCTGGGGACTTTTCAAGATTGTTGTTACTATTTGGAAACAATCCAAAGGCCTTGGCCAGCAGGCACAAGACTATGCTGTCCTTGACAAAAGGAGACTGGCGGGCCTTAGAGCCAGCAGGCAGAATCACCACTTACGGGAAATGCACCCGCTGAGGAGAAAGACCCTGGCACCTATCCAAACTGGATGAGGAAGCCTTGTGAGCCACACCACACAATCTTTCTGGATGGGTGGCATGACTGAGCTCCGTGAAGTGGCCCAGGGGTGTGCACCCTGCCCCCTTTCACTAAACACAAAAACAAAACAGAAGCAGGCAGACACTTGAGTCGCCTGAGCTCTCACACCCTCTTCAGCTTGTCCGGCCGGGTTTGCCTCCTATCCGCTGGGCTATCTCTGGCAAGCTGCTAAACCTTCTGAGTCTCAAATTTGTCATGCAATAGGTGAGACTGATGGTGGCTACTGCTGGGTTCCGCCGGGTGGAGTAAGGGACCCTCGTTGCCATCTGCTAAGAAGGCAGATCACATAGACCGTGTCTTTGCTAAGTGTCTTGGTTAGGGTTTCTATTGTGCAGTAAAACACGTGACCAAAAGCAAAATGGGAAGGAAACTGTTCATTCCATCTTATAAATCTTCAAATTCCAGACATCATTAAAGGCTGTCAGGTCAAGAACTCACGGTCTGAACTGGAAGCAGGAACTAAAGCAAAGGCCGTGGAGGGGTGCTGCTTACTAGCTTGCTCACTCCTGACTTGCTCAGGTACCACACCTTGACCAGGGGTGGTACCACTCACAGTGGACTGGGCCCTCCGTTATCAATCACTAACCAAGGAAATGTCCTACAGACTTGCGTACAGGCCAGTCCTATGGAGCCATGTCCATAGGACATGGGATTGCTTCTTCCCAGATAAGTACAGTGTGACAGTAACAACTGACAGGGGCTGCTTTGTCAATTCCAGAAGATTAGAAAGGGGGACAGGCAGTGTCCACTGTGTAGCCCAGAGACTGTGGGGTTGAGAGTTCAGATGCCAGGGAAGCCACTGGGTAGCAGGGGACTTGGATCTGTTGCCTTCTGCTCCTGGATTCTTTTCCCCAAAGACGGAATGCAGAGAGGAGGTCTCTGCAAAAACTGCCATGCAGTTGAAGCCTAAAGCCACGCTGACCTTCAGGCATGTTTGAAGTGAACTGGAAAGAAATAAGTAAACAAGTGAAGTTCCTGGCCAATGTCCAAGTCAGATGTCACTGTGGTGATATTCCCATTCCTGGTATCTCAAAAGGACTGGAAATAGAACCTGTCCTGCAGACGGAG